GTTGTTGTTTTTGTAGTGCAAAAGGATGTAGAGTTCAGGCGTTGGCTCAGTAAAGTTTCTATTGGGTGGAGCCTCCAACGAACACTGACAATCAATCTGAAGTTTGCTTCAAAGAAAGTTACCAGGATTGTAGTCATTCATCACTGGTTGTCACTTTTCAGCATAGTTTTTATACTTATTCAAATAAATGAAGAATGGAGTAAAGACTTCTCAGTGTTTGTCATTGTGTGAAGTGCATATAAATGTTCCAATCAATTACACCTGCTCTGCAAAACCTGCTTCAGCCACTGCCTATCACCCCAGGAACATGAACCCATATCACTTTGTCTCTAAAGTGCTGACACAGTTATCTGATATGAACAGGTCGAATCTGCCTAAATAATTATTTCCATTTACAGATACAGGCATTCAAAGTGAGATAACTACCAGGCGCCTAACACATGGTTCTGTGTCTCTACTTCCTCAGCATTTACTAAAAACATGAATCGTAAAGAGCATGTGAAAAAGCAGAAGTTCCCAAAATGGTATCACAAGGGGGGGCCGCTGTGCTCACAGAGGGGGGCTTGTCTACATGACAGCTTTTCCCATCACTGTGACGCTGATGCTGCGTTTCAGCTTTTCTGACACAAAACAAGAGGCTTTTTGCAGAGAAAAGATCTTGCATATTGTAATAAAAAAACAATAACATGAGTCAAAACAAGATGACTTGTTTAAAGCTTTAAAAACAGGAGTCCCCAATATGTCAGTATACTATCATTTTGAATACTGTAGATGGATGAAGATAATTCATCTGTAATGAAGTAATACTGTCAAAAGTGATTGTATTCTGGGGTGATTGGTGGATGTTTAGTTGCAAACATTTGAACACTTCCAGATCAGTATCTACTGTCAGTCATGGAGTCACTGTTTCCTGAACATTACCAGAAGACAACATTATCAGATCATCATGCAGGCTGACATTCATTTACTGCTGTCCACATCTGATCATGGAGCAAGGTGCCCTTTCAAAATAAAGTGTACTGTTACTGTACGTCAAATAAACTTGATTGTCTTACCTGCAGTTTACCATCCAGGATTCATCGCTTCTGTATGCATCAAAAGAGTCCTGAAGGGTCTTCAGCTTACCGCTAGCCATTCATTCAACACGCACATCACGGTTTAACAGGCAAACCCACATCCTGGGCATGGCAGGCAGGCAGTGCAGCGAAGTGAAATCAGCCTCTAGTATCTGGTTGTAGCTCTCTGCTGCGCTCAAAGACGTCTCACACATGCAGTGCGCCTCACAAACAGGAAGTGTATGAAAGAGGTGCATGTGAGCACAATGAGGGAGGCTGCTGGTGTGTGTGTGTGTGTGTAGGTGGGAAGTGGCATTGTGTGTGTTTTTCTTCATGCGTGTGTAGGAGGTTGCATGTGGATTTTGAAGGGATGTTGGCCCTTAAAAGGAAGTCATCAGTTTGACGTGTTTGTTTTCATGCTATTTTCACACTTGAGTGAAGTGTCTTTGTTTGGGTTTTCTGGCTTTGTTCATTATTTTCTTAAGATAGGGAGTATTGGTTGTACTGTCTGTGCTTAATGGTATTAACACAATACACACACAAAGAGTAATTCAATTTTGACCTATCAACATTTCATAATCAATGGTGTAAAGAAGTAATATTTCTCACCTGTATCAAGATATAATACATTTCAAGTCTCAACGACTGTTACTAATAACACAGTGTGTATATAAATCACAATTATTTAGAATGAATTGGAATACACTGGCCCCTTCTTTATTTCCTTAAAGTTTGAGGTCCATATTCCTAGTCTCTCTGCAAACCCCTCCGACAGGGAAACAGAACTTACTTCCCCCTCCTGCTTTGCTTCTCATTTACATTTCATGTTATTAGTGCGACTGTGAATTCCCCTTCTCTAGAATTGAGGGAAATATTGTCACGCCATACAAAACAGTGACAGTAAACAGTTTTCCTTGTGTATCTCAGCACCATTTTTAAACTTTCTAAACTTGTTTACATACACCCTTTTGTATTTGAATGACCTTTATACCTAATGAGTTTAATGAAAGATGGCAAAGCAAGTTGATAATCATGTACATATTGTTTCTACCTAACTCTTATTTCATATTTCCAAAATCTTCAATATAAATTGCTCAATGTTATTCAATGTAATCAAGGAAAACATGTTAGAGTTGGTACTATCAAAAATACAGTCTTGACGATGGAAGGAGTCAGTTAAAAAATGTAACTGCATAATTCACATCACAATTTTTGTGAAGTAATTTCTATCTTCTGGTTGTGATTAATAACCAACACTTGTTCCAGAAATTGCGTCAGGTTTGCATCTGGAAATGAAATGAATGGACAATGACTGAATGAAACCAATCAGAAGAGAGAGAGAAAAAAAGTTATGTTGAGATAAATGAAAAAACGGCTGATTGTCAGAAATGTTTTTGTTTGATTGTTTTAAATGTCACTTCTCTAATTGTTTTATTTCTAAAGAAGCAGTATGTAAGCCACGGCAGGATGATGATTTCCAGAGAGGGAAGTATAACCTAGAAATGATTAACAAAATTGGAGCGAATGCAAATTATATTTTGTATCATAACAACTGAAGTTTTGGCTGATTTTACTGTAAACTTTGTGTATCATGTAAATGTTAACAATTCCTTTGGTTTCTGCAATTCAGCTTTACAGACAGGTGAAAAGCTGTCAAACATTTACATTATGTTATTCTTCTTTCCAGCTGGTGAAGCGGGAAGTGTCCGCTGAGCAGATCTGTTCTGACATAATGAGATACAATTGTTTTTATTCTTCTTTCCCAGCAAGAGCTGAAATGAAGAACTAGCTTTAACCTGCAAAAAATGTGATCATCCGGTGTTGTTTGTAAGTGTATTTTTATTTGTTTGTGAAGACTTGACTGTTTTGCCTAAAAATATTATGTAACACTAAAAAACCCTTCACTGTTTACATGAGTAGAATATAATAGAATTGTTTAATGTCATTATACATGTACAATGAGATACATAAATGCTTCTCCCTTTCAAGGGTGCCATCAAAACAAAAAAACATCACAACATAAGACAACAAATACACGCAGCATACATACTTAGGAATAAGGAATAAAGTGCAGTAATTATTTCCAGGAGTATACAAATACAATCTATAATGTAATACATAATAATAGTAGGTATGTATTTATAATAATAATAATAATAATAATAATGATATATATGTATATGTACAGAGTCACATTTATTTCACATGCAGGATGATTAAGAGGTATGCCTTTCAGGTGCGGTGAGCAATGATGGCTCTTGGGAAAAAACTGTCTGAGTCTGTTTGTTTTGGATTTGCTACACCTGTAGCGCCTGCCGGAGGGCAGCAGGTTGAACAGGTGAAAGCCGGGGTGTGAACTGTCCTTAACAATGTGTTTGGCTCTTCTGAGGCAGCGGGAGGTGTACATGTCCACCAGGGAGGGGAGAGGGCAGCCGATGATCCTCTGTGCTGCTTTTACAACTCTCTGGAGCCTCATCCTGTCGGCCTCAGTGCAGCTGGCGTACCACACTGTGATGCAGTATGTTAATAGGCCCACGATGGTAGATGATGTGGCCAGTGCTTTTAGTTTCTATAACAACATTTCCTTTAGAGTTAAATATATAATGAAGGATATATTATATATATTTTCTAAGTTAAAAGCGTTCCCATATGGCTTTGTATATTATTTGTATTATTGCAATTCCCTTGAAGTAGATCCTTCACATGAGCTAATGTGTTATTTTATGTATTCATTTGTGTTGTTAAACTTGCATATATGCCTTTTATTATGCCATGTTATATCCCTTGCATTGTTTTATAAATAATATCAGCACTAAAAGTCTTAAAATTAAACTCAGCAGTATACAACAGCCTTCTCTTGTATTTTAATATTTACCATTCAGACCTGCATCAGCCAATCATCTTCATGCTCGGTAAACAAACGGTGTTGTGCCTCCACCGCCTGGGGGAAGAGGTCACCGCTGGCTGCAGTCAGGCCGGGCTGCTGTTACTTTGCATGACCGAAAGATGGCGATGTTACTTCTATTGCCAACATTCAACAAGTCCAGTGAGGCTGCAGCTGCATCAGGTTGGTTTGCAGGACAGAGGCACATTGCACAATATAGGAGGGATGTATTCTGCAAAGCAATGCTCGTTTGCGAAGTTTATGGTGTCTTGTAATATCCCAATGGAGGATGATATATGTCAGTATACTATCTGCTGTCATGGGTTTCAGATAAAACTGCGAGAGTATGCAGAGAGTTGTAAGCATTCACTTACAAAATGTATAAAAAATAAATAAAATGAAATGAAAAAAAAAAAAAATGGAATTTACACTCAAATCAAGCAAACGTCCAAATGATGATCACTTCACATTTTACATTTTGAGAAAAAAATCCCTTAAAATCTTCAATAGTGGAGAATCTAAAGTGAATTAGGCTACTATGTTGCGTTTATGTTTCTTCTGTTTTACATTGGTCCCGTTTATATTTTGTCTTCCAAGAATGTCCTTATAATGGTGCATGTTAATTAGGCCTACATTTCTAGATTATAGTACCACATTAGACATACAATTAGAGTCAAAGTTATGTTTTTTTTTCAAGATGTTGTATTTATTACCAGAATAGCTACTTCAAATCACGTTGCATGTCTCACAAAATAACAAATATCGTTTAACTGTAATTTACGATAATAGGCCTAATAATAGCCTTTGATTAATGTGATTTACTGCAGTATTTGAACGATCCTGTCAAGTGTCGTCCAGATTAAGGTGTCCCAGTGCAGTGTTGGTTCCAGCTGTTTTCTGCGGTAATCTGCGCCTCTGTGCATGTCAAATATTTCTGATTCACCACCAGTGGATGTCGTTGTTCCGCCTGGTGTCACCCCTCGAGATGAGCTGACCTAATGCTGTGCCAAACAAGATCCGATCCAAGAGAGAGGGAGGGAGGGAGAGTGAGGGGAGAGATAGAGATTGTGAAAAGACCGGCAGGAGGAGTAGGACTTGCTATAAGGACACTAGCGACTCTTAAATCCGGCTGCTCCTCTATTTATACGCAGGAGATTTGAAGAAACAAACAACAAAACAGGAGGAGCTGTGATTGAATCCCGATAAAGAAAAAGTAGACTAACATCGCCGATTCTTACATATATTTTTTAATTATTCTCAGGTAATGTGAGCTTTGTATACATTTTCCCAAACCTCCCATGCATGTGGTGGGACTGAATGTTACTTTTATATCACTGTAAAATACAAATTCTAACCCCAGTGTTTGTTTGGAAAGTGTTTGCAGACTGCTTAGCCATCACCAAACTTAACTCTCTCACTCTTCCCACACGCTCTTTCCCTTTCTCCTCCAGCGGCAGAGACACTTGGGGACCGAGGGACCTACCATGGCTGTGGATATTGTCCTCTCTGTGCTGCTCGCCGCCTCCCTGTCGTGCCGGAGCGTCCTGGGCGGCTACGGGGTGAGCCTGTTCGCGGCGCAGACCTCTCCCCCGGACCCCTGCTACGACGAGCACGGCAACCCGCGGCGCTGCATCCCGGACTTCGTTAATTCCGCCTTCGGTAAGGAAGTGAAGGTGTCCAGCACGTGCGGAAAGGTGCCCAGTCGCTACTGCGTGGTGACCTCGGCGGAGAAAGGAGATGAGAGGACCAGGAACTGTCACACCTGCGATGCCTCGGACCCCAAGAAGTACCACCCTCCAGCGTACCTGACGGACCTCAACAACCCGCACAACCTCACCTGCTGGCAGTCCGACAACTTCCTCCAGTACCCGCAGAACGCCACCCTGACTCTGTCCCTTGGAAAGAAGTTTGAGGTCACTTACGTGAGCCTGCAGTTCTGCTCGCCTCGACCGGAATCCATGGTTATTTACAAGTCCATGGACTACGGTAAAACGTGGGTGCCCTTTCAGTTTTACTCGACCCAGTGCAGGAAGATGTACACCAAGCCGAACCGGGCCGTTATAACGAAGCAGAATGAGCAGGAGGCTGTGTGCACAGACTCCCACACCGACATGTACCCTCTGACCGGGGGGCTCATCGCTTTCAGCACGCTGGACGGCAGACCCTCGGCTCACGACTTTGACAACTCCCCGGTGCTGCAAGACTGGGTGACAGCCACGGACATTAAAGTAATCTTCAGTCGGCTGCACACTTTTGGGGACGAGAACGAGGACGACTCGGAGCTGGCCCGGGACTCGTACTTCTACGCCGTGTCGGACCTGCAGGTCGGGGGGAGATGCAAATGCAACGGGCACGCTTCTCGGTGCGTGAAGGACCGGGATGGCAGTCTGGTGTGTGAGTGCAAGCACAACACCGCCGGGCCGGAGTGCGACAGGTGCAAGCCTTTCCACTACGACAGGCCGTGGCAGAGAGCCACAGCCAGGGAAGCCAACGAGTGTGTCGGTAAGTCAATTTACCTTTCTCCATCCACCTTCCTCCATCCCGGGGCAGTAACAATGGGTATATCTTAAAAGAAGATGAGACATAATCGATAGGTGTAATGTAAAATCAGTCACTATGTGAAATTACGAATTTTAAATGCAAAATAATAACAATATTATTATAATAATAATAAGGAAATAATTGATAATAATTGTGTTTTTGTATGACTAATATACGCCCAATTGAACAGCTTCAGTTCATTTAACCCACATTTAAACATTCCCTTTAAGCCAGACCGCAGCACAGCCACATTTTTTCCTGATTTTGTATAGCGTACTATAGCCTATATACGAGCATACAATTATGTTTAAGGCACATGCAACATAAAAATGCAATTTTGAAAGTCGATTAAGCTTACTGCAGGCCATAATGGAGGCTTGTAACCACGTCAAACGGGACCACCGAGCCTAATCATGCACATGTCTCATAGCTGCAGTAAAGCGATGCCTTTTCATCTATCTCAGGAATCCTGCAACATTCCACCGCAGTGGAAATTGAACACAGATTTATTTATAAATTATCACATCATTATTTTCCACATTAAAATCAATCTGAAAGAATGCTTTGAATTGTCAGGTGCTGTGGTTGAAAATATACATCTAAATGTGTAATTAGGAATGTATAACAACGTTTTTTAATTCACATTTTAAGATATAATGAATTTGTTTTCCTAATTGTAAAATTAAAAAATGTGAATTCATTTTATTGCATCAATTCTATGATTTAAATATAACGAAAAATAACAAACCTTAATATCTTTAATGTGCATGTTTTCTATAATTATCTTTACAATTATTAGCTGAAAATGAACCTAAGAATAGTGAATATAACCTTTAAATAACACCATCTTTTTTTATTCTAAAAAACAAAGCAGGTGGTAAAAAAAAAGCAAGTCCCTTTTCATATCTTTACTGCTGCTCTTTGTGTCTCAGAGCCAACATGTTTCATCAGGTGTGGGGTGATCAAAGTTACAGTAGTTGTATTACAACCTGGCTCAGACACATACACCTACAGATAGTGCAGAATCCTGGCCAAGTTTCTGTCAATTGAAATGCTGTACTTGAGATGCTTAAAGCCTATTACTGATCGTTTTGGGAATACAGCTTTTTTTTTGTTTTATTGCAATAATTGGACAGAAATATGTTTGAAGATTGCTGAGTAACAAATACCTGATTTATTTGGTGTTGATCCTTCTGATGAGATGTTCAGTGAGGAGAATAAGTAATATCTGAAAAACCGAAGGAGAGGCAGAAAGATATTGATAATTGAAACTAGAAACTAAAATCTCATTGTGACTCCCTCAATATTTCCTATTCTGTTGCACGGCTACAGGGAAAAGGCTTTATATTGTGAGACAGTCACAGCACATGTCAGCACTTTGACACATAGCAGCTGTTTAAAAGGTTTTTGTGTGCTGCTGTTGTCCGTTTCTAAATCTCTGACATTCTCACTGGCAGTTGCAAGGGTGTTGCTAAATCAACAGGCAGAGTTTTAGACATATTTACATTCTTGTTATCTCAAGCTATGATTTCATTGCTTTCTCTGTGTTTTTTTTACTTTAAAATGTGTTTTTTTCAATAGGGGCTAACTGACCTTAAATAGCAATTGATTTGATCTCCACTACAGCCTTTAATGTATTATCTATTATATATAGACTTTATAATTTAAACATGTGGCACTTTTTTCAGAAGAAGAAATTGAGTTTTTATATTTTTGTTAATTGATATACATTTTCCGATTCCTCTTTTATGTCTTCATTACATTCCAGAATCTAGTCAAGCATAGTGAGTCCGTCCATACAACACACTTTAATTAGATTTAATTTAATTATTATAACCAGTCTGTAATGAAGACTGCCTTGGTGAAAATCCCAGCATTTAGATATAGGCTTACTTTAATAAGAAAACATAATACTAATACTAATAATGTTACATTCAAACACATCAAATGAAAGGGTGGAGCGAAGTTTACAATTTATATATTTTTAAATATCTACATGATAGTGATACATGTGGGGAAAACACAGTCTAAACACAGCTTGTAAACTCAATATCGTTGCCGCTTAGTGGTTTACTGGATCAGCACACATATTACATTACATTACATTACATTGCATTTAGCTGACGCTTTTATCCAAAGCGACTTACAATAAGTACGTTCGACCAGGAAGACACAACCTTGAAGAAAACAGAATCATATAAGTACATCAGGTTTCATAGAGCCAAACATTTCAAGTGCTACTCAACTGGCTTTAGGTAAGCCAGTCCTTTATTAGTATATAAGTGCTCTGTTAGCAGTTCTTTGTTAGTAATTCTATCGCTCGAGGTGGAGTCGAAAGAGATGAGTTTTCAGTCTGCGCCGGAAGATGTGCAGGCTTTCTGCTGTCCTGATGTCAATGGGTAGCTCATTCCACCATTTCCACATATAAGACTTTTCACACTCGAGCCATAAAAGCCTGTCACTTACGACATCCATCATGTTGTCAGTAAGATGTTTCGTTTTTGTTATAGAAATGTGTTTGTGTGTGTGCTGAGTTAGAGCAAAAGCAAGTGTCAAATCTTGAAGATAAAAAAGTCACATCTAATTTAAGGCCAGTGCAAAATGAACAGTAGAGTACTGTATACAAGCCAAGGGATGAGTGTCTTTGGTGGAACAACTTTAGAGATCCAACAGTCTGAGCGTTTGTCATCGGAATAGTTAGCACAACATTGTTTCTATTTGCAGTTCTGGCACTGTATGTTGTTGGACATTTTGTAAACTGTGACTCCTCCAATAACTCCAACCAAAAATCAGAAAAGCCTGATTGAACATAGGTATATCTCTGTGTTTCTCTTAAAGTGCACTTTGCTGATTACTTCCATCACATTCTTAAGTAACATTCTGAGTGTGCACCTCGATCCATTTGGGTATTGACTCCCCACAGCAAAGGGAACTCTTCTAATGCAATGAGTTCAATAAGCAGCTCCTCGGGCACAACAGAGACATGCTTCAAACTCAGTTAAGATGTGTTAATCTGGTTTAGGGGTAACAACAGTAGAAGGAAATGTCTTTAGTTTCTCTTTGAACCTTATAGATGCCCCATGGCCTACCAGAATGCTCTTGGCAAAAAAACACAAAAAAAACCTTAAACTCACAAAGTAAGGAAGGGAACATGGTAACTACTGTATGATGAGAAATGGATGCAGTTAGATAGTCGCCTCCGGATATAAAGTAAACCCAGTTTTCAGGTTTGTGGCGTTTACTGGACGTGTTGGGTAACAAAAAAGAAAAGGAGAAAGTGTCCTGAATAATTCAGGCAGATTATAAAGACAGCTTGAAGGCATGCAGAATGAGGGGACTGCACCGCAGAGAGAAGCAGGGACAGAAGGAGGGGCTGGAGAATGAACAGGGCGACAAAAGTGAAAATGAAAGAGACAGACATAAGCGAGAGAGGGGGGCAGTATGATGTGGAAAATGTGTGAGGGAGAGGACCAGAGACATAAAGGGACGGCAGAGTGACACTTCCATAGCCGGTGGGCCAGCAACATATTTTGACAATTGTCTTTTCCAGCCGCCCTTCATTGCACCAATGGGAATATAAATGCTGTTTGGACAGGAAGAAACTTCTTCCTCCTTTCTTCCACTTAGAGTTCACTTGGTGCATTGACACTGTAATGTGGAAGACATTTTCTCAAGCCCCACTGCTATTGGTCCTTTAAGCCTGTTTGCCCATAAGGAGTCTCCCACTCCTAAAGCTCAGTATTAGCTCGATGATTTGCTTGTTTTGCCTCACTAGAACCAAACCTTATTTCAGAAATCACACTCAAATGTTCCCGGGTGCTTTTCAGAGGTGTGCGACTGACAGGAGCAAACATGTGGTGCAGAAAAGTGGACATGGTTCATTTGATACCCTTAAAAAATATTGACTTTTTAAGCTACATCCACTTGTATTAAATAGCCCCTCTAAAGTTGTTTTTATGCCTTCTAATATGAAAATGCACTTCCAACTTGAAGCTAAAAAACAAATCAGGTCCTCTGAGTCCCTTAACGTGAATATTACAAACAAAATGTTCGAGCAAACATAAGTAAACACTTAAAAACAGCTGCGCATACACTGATGTTTAGTGGTGTATTTTTCTTATTTTCATGGAGGACTGGCCAGACCTTTAATGAGCATGAAACATAATTCCAGTAAAGCTACAGCAGAGTTTGGGAAAGATTCAAGCGATTTGATCGACAACAGTTTCTGGATTTTGTGCAGTTACGGAATAAAAAAAGGAAGAGTTTCTTATTAGCCTTTGTGCTTCATCGTTCAAATTGCTTGAATAAATGCAAATGGAGCCCTACTGTAAGTAGACCAGAACTCAATACTGTCATCAGATGAGGTTTTCTTTTAGCAATGGTTGCCATGATTACAGAGAAGCCCTGATGTACAATCGATTAAACGTTGTCTAGTTTCCATGTGAACAATTCAGGTTAAAGAAAAAGTCACTTCATATATCCTGAAACTCAACCTCTGCTGTCTTATTGTTTTGGTACCTTTCAGACATGACTGAAGGTCTGGTTAATGTTTGATCTGATCACCGTTCACCTTTATAAACCGGCATCCTTCATCTTCAAAGGTGCCGGCAAGATGCGGTGTTATTCTCACTCACTGCAAACAAAGCTGGGAATCAACTGACAGAGTAGCTTTGCACTTTGCACTGTTAGTATTCCTCGTCTTCACTTCTGTAGACAGCACTCGCCACTTCTTACTGACATGCACACACCTGTAAGCATGCACATGTGAACACACACAAGTGTTCCTTAGGTTTGAAGCCGCTATAGTTCAAACAGGGGGGAATGGCCTCTCTCTCACTTCAAGAATCCTGCTTTGCCGGCGCTCTTATCAGTGTTTATGACTCGTTTTGTAAACCACTGCTAACAAAAGTCTCTCATGGTCCAGACCACCGGCTCACTCTTCTGTTTTATATTTTGAGACC